AACTAACTAATCCAGTTAACCATATTGACTGAATTAACTAATATTTCCATATTTTCTATCTCCCTGTCTCCCAGTGCCTCATTCTGTATGTATATAAAGCTCTAATCCATATAGCACTTTTGAAAAAATTGTTTCAACTATGTTTAATTTGATGTTTAGCCCAGCCATTGAATTTTATGTTTTATACCATAATGTTTTTTATGTTTTAATTTCCATTTTATTTTTAATACACATGTTTACTTTTATAGTCATAACTTCCTTGATCATTTTTTTGTTGTTGTTGTTGAGACAGAATGTCACTTGGTGTCCCTGGGTAGAGTACAGTGATTGTAGCTCATTGCAAGCTCCAAGTCCTGGGCTGTGAGTGATCCTTCTGCCTAAGCCTCCCCAGTAGCTGGGACAACAGGCATGAGCCACAATGCTTGGCTGGGTTTTGTGGTTTTGTGTGTTTTTTTTTTAATTTTTGTTTTCCTTTGTTATTAGGTAGAGATGGGGTCACACTGTGCTCAGGCTGTGTCAATACCCTGAGCTCCAGCTATCTTCCTGCTCAGCCTCCCAGAAAGCTAGGATTATAGGCATGAGCACCGCACCCGGCCTTTGATCGTTTTTTAAATCCATAATTTTTATTCTAAGGTTTATAGCTATTAACATTCTATATGAAATTACATGTTATTCTGTATTTGATAATTTCAAAGTGACTGAAGAAGAAAATTTGAATCAATTGGAGCAACAAAATTAGACAAATTCCACCATTAAAACACATAGATTAACAAATCTTATTTTTAGGTCAAATATTAAATCTAACCACTTTTCGTTTAGAGGGAAGCAGATCAAAACAAAGTGGCACACCATAAGAAAAGGTAAAAAATAGAGAATAAATAGGCAAGGAGCACGAGGTTAATGGAATGTTTGAAAAAAAGATAATTTAAAGTAAAAATATCATTTAATTATGAAGAGGGTCATTTTATTTTGATAAAGATAATTAGAACTGTAAAATAATATTACCTTTCATGAACATTTATTTCCAGAGAGAAGAATTAATCAAAACACAAAATAAAACTTTTTGAAATATAAGAAGATACTAATAGTAATGGGAATAGTAGAAATTAACACACTTCTCTCTGTCGGACAGATCAATTAAGACAAAAGTGAAAAGGATATAGAGAAATAGTTTTCTGTGGGGTGGAGGAATAAGCAAGCAAGTCCAGCATCCTCATTCCTGCTTTAAGCAGACTAGCTTTGCATCTGTTGATGTGGGTTTATTTTATTTTATTATACAAATATTCCATAGGAGATTTGCTCTGAGGGAAGATTAAATTGCTTCAAAATTTTTAAAAATGCTAAAATAGTATTTGAATGACAATGAACAAAAACTATCTAAAAGCTAATTTTAAAATTTTTTATCATAAATAAAATATACTCCTTTTTTACAATAAACATAGAACTTGCACAAAACTTAATTCTATATCTGACTACAAAGATTGATTCAACAAGCTCCAAAAGTAGAAACTGTGTAAGTCATTCTCTCTATATTTCAAAACATATGAGAAAAAGACAGTCTTCTATGCTTTTATTATTCACCATAAATAATAATTATATTTATAATTCAGCTCAAAAGTTATAGTATAGTGTAGTATAAATGTGCTGATCATGAAAGAAGAAATAATAAATTAAAAAGACAGGAACTCATAAATGAAAACAAAAACTAATAACAAAAACTCAAAATGCTTGTTTTAAAGACCAGTTAAATAGATAAGTCTCTGACAAATCTAATCATTTAAAAATCATTATATCTAACATTATTGGGTACTTAATTTACCATATATTTTGCAAAGCAATTTACAAGAACTTATCTAATTCTCAAAATAATATTATAAGAATCATTTATTCATTTATTTCATAAACATTTATTAAGTACTAACAATATACCAAACATTATATGAGGCACTTTGGTTCATGGTGCTGAACAAATAAAATGATTTCACTGCTCTGAAGACATTTGCATTCTGGAGGAATAAATAAAAATATCCATTTTACAAATGAGGAAACCAAATTGGTCACATAGCATCTTTGTGTCTAAATTATATTTGAATCCAGGTTTCCCTGAAGGCCCATGGTCCTAACCAGCATATAATGCTACTTCTGTAGGGGAAAAGTACAGAAAGCATATAGTCATTATATTAACATTATAAAGACTATGCAAAGATCATTATCATATAATTGCAAACTTTAAATAATTTAACATTCACAATGATTCTCTGAGATAGGTAGTAATATTGTTACCATATTTTACAATTGAGGAAATTGAAGAAATGAAATGTTAAATAACATGTAGTTGCAGAGCTCCCTTAATACCCAGGAAGTCTGGCTGTGGAACACACTGAACTACAATATGTGACTACTTATGGTTAAGAAATTTTTTTTAAAGTTTAAGCAATTCCTATTTACATATCTCACTGCTAAAACAATGAAATTATGGATGAAATAATTTGTTTTCTAATAAAACGTGAATTACTGAAGTTAACACAAGCAAAAATTTAAACTCAATGTAACTAGGGAAAAACAATCAAAAAACTAACTCAACTGATGTTGGCAGACCCAGGTAACACCCTGTGGGAGGTTCTATCAGTATTTCAAGGAAAACGTAATTTCCCTACTATTTAAGTTGATACAGAATATAGGAGATGGGAAAATTCTGGCATGTTTACCAAGCAATCATTCGTCATTATGATGCCACATCTGTCAAAGCTATCTGTACACAGACCAACCATGAACTTACTAACAAACAAGCACACACACACAAAACCCTAAAAAGCTATAGACAATGTCACCTTTGAATATACATGCAAAAATCCTAAATTAAAAAAAAAATCAAAAATCAATTCTAGTAAAAGAATAGTATGCCATACTGATGTAAGAGTTATTCCAAAATGCAAGATTTAACATTTCTGGTTATTGAATATATATGCCTAAACAAATAAGCAAAAATCACTAACTCCTTAAGCCAGAAATGCCATTTTATATTTTACTCCTAAGGAAAAAATCAAATAGGTTTTCAAAGATACACAGGGTGCTTATCATAGCCTTATTTATAATAGTGAACATTGCTATAACTCCTATAAGAAAAAATAATATAAAAATATCCTACTCTTAGCATTTATAATCTATGGTAGATAGTTATACAAGAGATATAAATGGGATACACAAAGTACTTTGTTATTTAAAAGAAAAAAATTCTAGCTAACTGCACAAATAAGGACATTGCTAAATAGGAGGCATTTAGGACAAATCTCAAAAGATTAGTAGGATTAACAGATATGATTGGAAACACAGAGGGATATATTTCTGGATCAGAAGATGTGGAAAAAAGTAGTAAAAAATCTGACTGAAAGAACTTCGACTGTGTCCAGAGCATAAAATGTATTAAATATAAATAGTACTAAATAAATCAGTGGAACAGAACCGAGAAGCCTGAAACAGTTTCAAATATGTGGAAACCAATTATTTGACAAACGCAGCATTTCAAATATTGTGGAAAAAGGAGTTTTCCTTATTTATTGATGCTGAAATAATTAGTTGTATTCCTATCTCACACCAAAAAAAGGTAAATATAGTTTAGATGGATTAAAGATCCAAATATTTTAAAGTGATAAAAATGCTACCAAGAATACTACAGAAAATACTGAAAAACTTGAGTTTAGAGATAATTTCCTAAACAAGAAAAAATTCAGCAGTCATGGAGGAAACTACAGATATGTTTGTTTCTCCCCGAAAAGTTTATAAAATTGTATCACAGATGCCATCAGAGGCTAACCATACACTAGTGGGGAATATTTCTGAGAAACAAAGTCTTAATGGCCTTAATACACAAAGAAGTCTAAGAAATTAAATAGTGCAAATAAGCATATAAAAATGAAAGAAAAATAACAGAAGAAACAATTCACAGAAATGCATTTGCAAATGGCCAATAAAACTATGAAAAGATGTTCAACTTTCTTAGATTTCAAGGAAATATTAATTAAATAAGCAACAAATTACCATTTATTCACCTATCAATATGAACAAAATTAAACAAATTGATCACACGCAATACTAGCAAGGATATAGGAAAATAGTATCATATAATACTTATAGGTGTGGGAATTGCTGCTATATTATTGAAAAACAATCTGGCAATATTTATTAACATGAAAAATGTTCATGCCCTTTGATCCATTAATCCCAGTTTTATGAATGTTTGCTGCAGAAAATAAAAGCAATAGTGCACAAAATATATACAAGGTTGTTTATAGCAGCATTGATTTTTAGTTGTAAAAAAAAAAAAGGAAACAGAACTGGGCTATGCTAGATGTCTAACTACAGGGGGCAGCTGATTAAATTCCGGTATAGCTATAAAATAGAACAGTATATAGTTATTAACCAGAATAAGTCAGGCCAATATTTATTGAATATAGTCTTTTAATAATAAAATACCAAGTATTCAAGATTTACATCTTTTAAAAAACAAAACACAAAAAACTCAGATGTATGAATATATGCATCATAAAGACACGTAGGAGATTACATGTAAATAGTATTTGTTGTTGCAGAAAGACAGATTTGCAGGGATGGGGCGGGAACAGTTTTTAATTTATTTAATTCATGACCCTTTTGTTTGACTCATTGCAATAATCCTATATTTGTAATTTCAATAAACTACTTTTGTAATTAAAAAATACAATGACGTTTTAAAAAATAAAGTATAATCTCTTAAAATCTATACTGTATTGTCTCTGGATTGCTTTTCTGAAATATGAAAGAAAAGGAAACTACTTTTTTATAATCTAACTACTTACTAGGCAATCCACATGGAAAGTGAAGTATATCAACCAGCACATGGTCCTTAATTGTGATTACATTTTATTGCACTCAGCCTATTAAGTGCTCAAGTTACCAGATAACAGAATCTATGTTCCTAATAGTGGAAAGTGTATTAACAGTATTTTTGCTCCCTATTGTAGCCCCGTTCCAACAATCACATGGATGAAGGTTAATGGTTATATTCCTAGTAAAGCACGTCTGCGGAAATCTCAGGCAGTGCTGGAAATACCAAACGTACAGCTGGATGATGCAGGCATATATGAGTGCAGAGCTGAAAACTCACGTGGAAAAAATTCTTTTCGTGGACAATTACAAGTATACAGTAAGTGTTTGCAGCAAAGCATGATGCCCTAGTTCCAAGACTCAAACTGAAAATGCAAACTAATTTAAATTAAGATTGTTGGTTATATACAGAAAAAACAAGTAATAATTCATCATTATACTTCTTTTGCATGGTAAAATATCATGTAAAATTACCCTACATATAGAAATGCTTTAAATTAAAAACGAATGGGGAATTATCAGTCTCTTTGTACAATATACAGAATTTACAAGCTTAAAAATGCGATGTTTTCCTGGCATCAACAACACCCTCTGATAAGTTGAAAATGTTATAAACTTTATTAATCTTTTCTAGCACTATCCCTGAATCAGGGGTGAAAATCTATTGCCCATGAACCAAATCCTGCCAAGTTGCTATTTTTGTAAATAAAATTTTATTAGAACACACACCCATTTGTTTATATATTATCTATGTTAGCTTTTGCCTCTCTGTGGCAGAATTAAGTAGAGACAAAGAACATCTGTTTTGCAAAAACTAAAATATTTGCTATTAGGTCCTTTATAGAGAGTTTGCTGACATCTGGCCTAAATTAATACATCTGTATGATAAAGAGCCTCTACAGCCTGCAAGTGTTTATATTGTCCTAAAATGCCAAAGAGTCAACCAGGTTGTGTCTAAGAATTCGGAAAATCTAGTTCAAAAGATTTGCTATCTCATATTTATTTCTAAGAATCACAAATTGTATCCACTTTTCATATTTGCTTTTACAATATACATAAGGGGTAAGTGATAATATTTTCATTTCCCAGATGGCGACACTAAAAAAGAAAGAAATGCAATAACCCATAGCACTGATATACACAAACATAGATGCTTTGAATACCCAGTTATCCCAATTGTGTATTGGCTGATTCCTCCAGGAAACCATTGTCACTGACAGTCACCGTATCTCAGGATCAGTTCTTCTAAAAGCTTAATGTCTATTACAGGAATTCTTGAAGAGTATTTTGAAATATTAATATCTGAATTAAAACTGTCTTTCCTTATCTTTAACAACTCCTTTAGGAATTCAGCACTCTAACCAAATTGAATATGCATTACACATTTTATTCATTCATTCATTCAATTACTGTTTGTTAAGTGCAACTTACTGTTCTACATGCTAGCAATAGAGATTTGAAGGAACTCATGGTCCATTGGCTAAGATGACCAACAAGCCCCAAATTAGAGCAGAGCATGCTGTGTGCTGTAATAAAGGCATGTGCCAAGTATAGGGGAGTGTGGCACTCTACTCAGATGACTCAGGGAAGGCTTTAGAGAGGATCAGTTCCTTAGAGGCTACACAGGGGAAGGCATCCTGGAAGAAAGGGAAATGGAGTCATTTAGAAGTTTCGAAGATTGAAATATCACCACTGCTTTGGTTATTTTTAGGTCATAGATGTTATATTCGGGTGAAATCCACAAAGTTCATAACTGTTCATAATTAAATCATTATGACAACTCTATACCTGTAGGGGAAAAAAATGTTGCTTCTGTACCCAATGGAACAACGATTAACATTCAAATACATTATGTCATTTTATCCTCACAGCAACAGCATGAAGTATTACTAGTCCCTCCGTACAGATAAAAATCTGATAGTGGAAGACAAGAGTTCAACTAGAATTTTACTACTCAAAATCACAAAATAAAAATACAAAGAATGGCTGCTACTCTGAAGGCTATTGAAAGAAAGTCCAAGATCTCTCTGCAGTGAAGAATAACCCACACTTAAATATTAACAGAATTAGATTGTACAGTCTGAGAAGGCTCCTGCTTTGCCCTACTCTACCTGCTCCCTGCCTCACCCCAGATACTTACTTCATAGGCACTAATGACTGTTGCCAGGAACGTAGAAAAACAATTGCTTTTATTCCATATTACTGGAGTACATTCTGGTGAGAGAGTTACTAAGAAACAATCTGTGGGCTCTCCTTGTCATGCACAATTATAACACACATACCCAAAGAATGCATCACTTTGAATAGAAAAATGATCTAGACCATTGCCTAGAAAGAGTAACTGGGCCGGCTAGCTACTTGGTATGTATTTCTGACAGTTGAGCAAGGTATACTAAAACCATGTGACCTCTCACTATACCCCGTACTTAGGGTGGCTTCCTAGCAGACTCTACAGGTGGCCATATACTTCGATTTGCCCTAGATAATCCCAGTTTACTTGTCCTGTAACAATCATGAACAGTGCCCTGTTTCACTTCCAGAAGTATCTGTTATCATATGTTCATCTGACTTTTGTATTTTTAAAACTGTCATATTGGACATGAGGGCTTTCCCCTCCCTCAAACTCTATAAAATACAGACAGGATCTTGGTCAACGTTTCTACCTAACTGGCAGTAGGTATAGAAAGCATGGTGCATGGATGTTCCACTGTATCCATGGTTTATGTTTAGCATCCTCTCTCAGTAAAATGGATTACTGTTGGAAGCTCTCTAACTTGAGCTCTACCTATTGGAAAAAGTAGAGTAGGACCATTTTTATATCCAAATAGTCAATATTCACAGGGTACTGAAAACATAAACAATCTTTCCTATAGCTCATTTTCTTCTTGTAGATGTAATTACAGGAATGCTTTACTTGTTTAGCTATTAGATAAAAAGAATAAACCAGAATTCTAAGGCAGCCCATTTTTTTTTGTCAAAGCTTTGCAAAAGTGAGTGCTAATATAGATGGTAGACATAAATTTAAGCCACATATGTTATTGTTTATAACGAAGCATTTATATCATAAACATAAAAAATGACACAACATAAAGAAGTTTGTGGTAGTTAAATAAAAATTAAACTTACATATCTAATATAACATAATCAGGTTTGAGAAATAATTTTAAAAGGGAAAAACAAACTAGAAAAAATTGAAATACAAAAATTTTAAAAATAATTTAACATTTGAATAATTCACTATTATTCTACTGAATGTAACTTTTGTTTATAATGTAGAGTACTTTTATGGGTTAAATTATCTATTTGATTATTTCTATTCCTTCTAGTTTCTGATGATTTATCAAAAAGATGTGGTTTTAACTAGTCACATAATATATACCTTTTTAATTTTTCCAATATAAGTTTAATTTTTTGCTTGGTAAAGCCCTTAATTAAAAAGGAAAGGATGAAAGAATGAGGAAAAAATAAAGAAAGGTGGGAAGGCAGGAAGGAAGAGAGAAAGGAAGGAAAGAAATCCAAGCATTATTTAAACAGTTTTATATTTTAAGGAATTCTCACAATGGGAGGTATTTTATGTACAGAAAATATTATTATATAAAGATGTGTGAGTTATGAGTTTAAATACATATCATGTGCCCTACCAACTAGTAACTTGTCATTCTGTAAAGACACTGTCACTATGAGTTCTAGGTAGTTTATATTTACTATTTAGACTATCAATATATCACTATTAAAATACACCTGTAATCAGAATACTTAAAAGAAAATTAAGTTACTCTGAATATCCAGCAAAGGAATACTACTTGCTATATATTCCTACTTGCTAGATATATTTTATTAATGTTACAGACAACTGTTTGATATATTAAAATCCTTGCCACTAGTTTTGCCTTTCTATTTTTATTTTCTTCAAAATTGTGTTTATATTAAGCATGATTTTATGTTGTTTTAGCTATTAAAACCCATTAAAGATTTACTGTAGCAAATGAGATAAAATTATACATTCCTGATTCCTGATATAAATTCAATAATACATAAAGTAATTTTTTCAATGCTATTTCTTTGGAGAAAAAAATCTTACCTTGAATTCTACTGTTGTCATAAAAATGGTACCATGTATATGTTCACAGCTGATAGAAAAATGAAGTTGAATATTATGCATGAGCAATGGCTGGGGGAAAGTAATCAATATATATTATATTTAATCATCATAGTAGCCCATTGAAATAGGAATTATCATCTACAGATGAGACTCATTAAAGTTAAGTAACTCATTCTCAGTCACATATTAGAGCAAAGGCATGACAGCTTTAGAATTTGAACCTATATTCACCTCCAACTGTATAATCTTTCCAATATAACATGTTCCCTCTCTCCCTGAGCTGAGAGTCATAATATTGAAAGTGATCTATGTGGATGAAGTATGTTGACTCCGTAATACTTAAGGGTACAAAAGCAACAAAGGAAGCCAATAACACTTAGCATTTATCAGTAGAGAATTACAGAATTTCTAATGACAAGTGATAATAAGCAAGAATTTTCTTTATGCACATCTGCTTAGTGTTTTAAAAAATGTAACCCAGAGACTGATCTGAAGCTCAAATTCATTATATAAGTACAGTGCATCTGGTGAGGTTTTAACAACTTCTGAGTTTAAAGGGCCATATGTCTCTCAGTTTTCCACACCCTAAAATAGGTGGCCTGACAAAAGCTAGATAAAAGAAGTTACTAGGTTTATTTTAAATGTGGTCCAACCTGCCATTTTCTTTTGCAGATAGATCCAAGACTCCCCACAATGCAGACCACGTCTTGGTGTCTGTTCACCTCATGTTATTATTCAGAACCCAAAGCCAGTGCCCTTTAGTTACCTGCAGTCCCCTGCCAAAGAAAACTTTTAAATGTAACCTTTTGTGTTTTTCATTTTATATTACCAATAATTTTGTGGTTATAAGAACCTTAAAAATACCATGCTGTCTTTTTCATATCATGGTCTAAGAAAAATTATTTCAGTCTTTAATACATTGTTTAATTTTTTTTATTTTGTAAATTTTATTACTGTCCATTTACATACTCATTTTTGGTATGGTCCATACAGTACAGACCTAGTAGTTTATAAAACATCTTGCAATGTAAAAAAACTCTGTTGTAAAAGTCGAGCTGATCTTGTGTTGAACATAACCTACTTTTTCCAGGTGTGTCATGAAGGATGGCATTTCATAAATTCACATAGCCTTTATGTTAGTTAATGTTTATTTAATGATGACATTAAATGTATTTCTCCAGTATGGGGCTTGACTTCATTGCAACATGATGCACAATCAAATTCCATTTGTGTGTGTGTGCACGTGTGTGTGTATATATATATGTGTGCTCATGTGTTTCTGTCTAGGCTTGCTCCAAAACTTTTGTATTAAACCAATTAATGAGCAGTTTATATATATGACATCTTGGGAAACAACCAAGTTATATCACTGAGTTACAATTGTGATTTGTTTCAGTTTATTTTTTGTTATTATGTGTCCTAGATATAGATGTAGATATTGATATAGGAATAGAAATAGATACAGATACAGAGGTAGAGATAGATATAATGATAGATATAAATAGATATATGGGTCCTGTACATACTACATAGCTTGACACAAAAATTTATAAACTAGGAAGAATCATAGTTAAAAGCAGCAAGATCTGAAACAAAATCTGTCTTTTATCTGTGAAGAATTGATAAGTTGATAGCATTTTCTAATTCTGAGGGCACTGCAACAAGCCACATTTATTTATAGAATTGTTAATAGAATGAATTTGAAGACTATTTTAATTGCATCTCACCCACTAGATTGTGAGCTGATAGCAAACAGACATTGTGGCATATTTATATTTCTATTCTCAGTGTAAACATTGAACCTATATTGGTACCCAAAAAGAGTTTGAAGAAAGAAAAGCAGGAATTAATTCCTTTTCATGTCATTGATCACTTGTTTGACTCCTATGACAAATTCATTTTAGAATCAGGACTCTAAATTAGGCCACTTTACAAAGTAGTCCAAAATATGTTTGAAGAAACATGTTTTCCAGATGTCAAATCTGTTTCAATTTTAATATTTTAACTGTTCTTTCTTTACTAGATTTTCATTTTTGTAACTTTGTTAAGATCTATTTTAATTTCTTTTAACTCCCACATTAGTTATAATATATTAAGATATACATCAATAAATCTACTTAAACATTATTTTATAATCAACTATTATATATGGGACAGTGTTGTGTCTAAAGTAAATATATATGGCAAGTCAACTGTGCTCTCCATGATCCCACGATCTAGCTACGTGTCAAACTGTAATCAACTAAAAAATGTAATAACAATTTAAGTCAGCAACAGAAGAGAGGTATGTAATTATTTTCCAAGTAAATAAGAACTATAGTGTCCAGAGAAGATACTAATAACTCCCCTTTAGGGTTGTGATTAATACTCCTAATTTAATTTAGACTGAATATTGAATTGTGAATAGAATTAAAAGTCACAGAGAAGATATATACAACATTTTACATGGCGTGAATAATTTGAAGAAAATACATTGTGTGCTTGGGGGACAGTACACAGGTTTACTTGGATTACAAGACTCATACATAGTATAAAGTAGTTTGGCAGAATAGGAAAGTATACAGAAAGCCCAAGTTTAAAAGTAGAGTTTAATAGAGGTTGTGTATCTCATCACTCCTATCAGTATCTTTAGCATACAACAGACATCAAAAGGTTCATGAAAAAATGGAAATAAAATAAATAAAAACTATAAAGTTTGTTTCTCAACATAAACATCTAAAAATTCAAGACACTTGTGTAAGAAATACCAGCCGTGTAGTCTATTCCTAAAGAACTGAGGGCCCTTGGAATTTAACCATGTCAATGCAGTCCTTTTCACATTACTACCTGAAGAAACATGGGAGACCTTTCAAGATATTTAAAAGTAGGTAACAAAAAGGAGTTGGAAAGAGCCAAATCAGGACTGTAAGGAGAATGCCTAACGATTTCTCATCAAAATTCTCACAAAATTGACCTTGTTTGATGACAGGAATGAACAGGAGCATCGTCATGATGGAGAAAGACTCTCTGATGAAGATTTCCCATGTGTTTTTCTGCTAAACATTTGCCTAACTTCCTAAAAAAACTCTCATAATAAGCAGATGTTATTCTTTGGCCATCCAGAAAGACAGATACCAAAATGCCTTGAAAAAACTGTCACCATGACCTATGCTCTTGAAAGGTCTACTTTTGGTTTGACTGGACCACTTCCACTTCTTGGTAGCCATTGCTTTGATTGTGCTTTGTTTGCAGGATTGTACTGATTAAGCCATTTTTCATCTCTTTTTACAATTCTTCAAACAAGTGCTTTGGGATCTTGATTCCACTTGTTTAAGATTTCCACTGAGAGCTCTGTTCTTATCTGCAATTGATCTGGGCATAATGCTTTTGGCACACATTGTGTGGAAAGTTTACTCAACTTTAATTTTTTAGTCAGAATTGTGTAAACTGAACAAATTGAGATATGTATGGTGTTGGCTATCATTTATGATGTTAATCATCTGTCCTTTACAATTAGGAAAAGAACAAGATTGTTTCCCACAAATTGATGTGAATGGTCTACCACTGTGGGCTTCATCTTCAACATTGTCTTGTTCCTTCTTAAAATGAGTTATTCATTTGTAAACTGTTGATTTCCCTGAGCCATTGTCCCCATAAACTTTGCATAAAGCACCAATGATTTCACTATATTTTTTCCAGCCAAACTTCACCATAAATTGGATGTTTGTTTTTGCTTCAAATTTAGCAGGATTTATGTTGGTCTTTTCAAAGGGATGTTTTATCCTTCTTATTGCCTAAAACTACATCCTGTTCAGACATTAATGAGTTTATTTTGGTCCAAAAAAATTTTGAAGTCCATGCATAGTTTTCTCATAATATACATTTCCTATGAACTTTTTGCAGATCTCCCATATATAACATATAACTACAAAGAGACTGATTTTTGAAGCCAAGTACAAAAATCATGATTAATATTTGAAACTCATCATGATAATATTAATAATATTTGAATGGTGTTTCTAGACTTACTAGTTGAATCACAGAATGTATTCAAGGCCTACAAATCCTGACTATGTCATAAACCAAAGGTAGGCTTTCTTAAAGAACAGACTATATTGGCTAGAAGACCAATTAGCTAATAAAAACAGAATTCCCACTTAGAGACAAATAATTCCTTAACATCTTTGAGCCGAAGTTTCCTGATTGATAAAACATTATATATTTGTTTTAAGGAAGAATAATACAGGGATTAATTGAGAATTTAGCTCAGTGTCTAGGGCATAGTAGTATCTAGAACTGGCCTTTAATAAATGAAATTTCTTTATTTCTTGCTCTTTCTTCTCCCTTCTAAACTGGTTTTGGTTTTAGACATCTGTTTTCCCTTCATACCCCCTATTCTGATATTCATGTGCAGTTTCTTTCAATATATGATATTTCTTATGCTATCCTTTGCCTTGACAATGACTTATATTGCCTCTATCACAGTAAAACCTCATTATGGATAGAACTTAGCTGTTTCTGTATTCCTAATAGCCTCTAAGATTGAACAAGGATGACATAGTGTGAGATAAATGAACATATGAATGAATGAATGAATGATCAAAGCCCTCAGTAGTAGAGACAAAGTAAAATATTTTACAGTTTCTTGCCAAAAAATGTTGCCAGAAACACGTAATAAATTCAGTTCAATATTTATTATTTTGACTGTTTTAAACAGCATATTTGTGGACAAAGAGTCACTTTTATTCAATATTTTTCTTTAAAATTGCCCAGTGAAAGAAAAACACTTCAAGTTGTATCTTACAGATTTCATACAATTACAATAGTATTTTACTCTTGATAAAAGTATTTTTTCTCAGTTACAAATTTAAAAATTTGAAATTCTTTTGAAATTCTATTGTAAGTATGTAAGTAATTAAGAAAAATTTTATATTAAGATCTGAATTCAAAAACTATTTTTCCAAAGTCATTCAGTTTCTATTAGGAAAAAAATGTTATTCAATAATAGGTCCTGTTGTATTACTTCTACCTGTGCTAATGCTGTCTTAATACTTTGAAATAGCAATGACTTTAAGTACCGCACTTCCTTACCAGCTTTAGGGAGAATCAAACCACTTACTTTAAAATCAGAAATAAAAAAGACATACTTCACTTAGTTTATAAAAATGTTTTAAATTATCAAAATATCTTCACTGCTATTTTTTTTTTGTACAGGAATTAGAATTCTGTGTGTAATGCTTCTTCCAAATACCTGTGGTTACATGAATTGCTAAAAAAAAAATGCAATAAGTTTTTCTATGTGAATTTTAAACTTGGTAAAGTGTTTCAGGCATGAAATCATCCTTCTTTAATGCTTACATTTACAGCTTACCCACACTGGGTAGAAAAACTGAATGATACTCAGTTAGACAGTGGGAGCCCTCTGCGATGGGAATGTAAAGCTACTGGAAAACCCAGGCCCACATATCGTTGGCTGAAAAATGGAGTACCCTTCTCATCTCAGGTACTGTTGGGAACTACTAACTTGTTCTAGCGTAACAATATTTCACACAGGATAAACTAGGCTCCTTTAGTTTTACTGAAAGTCATATCCTACTTCTGCTTTTTAATGTATTTTGAGTGATAAATATAACAAATATATAAGCAACATTTTATTTTTTATTTCAATTACCTCATTATATTTTTGAATAATACATTGCTTCTTTTTTCCCAATTCTATAAATTCTTAGGAAACTAGCAATGACTATCACAGACTCACTGCCATTTCTAGCTGACTTTAGATGTCATCTGAAATTACTTGGTATCTCTGTTGATATATAATCAAAGTACTGCTCACTAAGATTTTAAAAGTGATTTGCTTGCATTAAGTAGACAAGACACTTGGTTGCTTAACAACATTTCAAATTTAAAATTTGTCTTTGAAATGTACTCTTGGCTTTAATTTACCTTAATTTTCACATGCTCAATTTTCTATCTTCTATATTAAATTTCTTCTGATAATGAAGTATATTTTCTAGCTGATAATTTTGTTTAGAATCCAGCTGCAAAGCAATTTTCTATTTGTATTAGTTTATTGGGAAGTGAGAGAAAAGGCAAACTCTCATTGGATTAACATACTTGTTGACTGTTTTTATGACGGGGGCTACTTTTAATTTTGATCCCATGTGTCTACAACCTCAATCTTTTCTACCACGTGGATCGCTGCTTCTCCTTTGTAAAAGGAATTCAAATAAAGGCATCATCTGCTGATTGTATTTCACAAACTCACCAGTATACCAAAAAAATGGCAGCTTATTTTGAAAACAAAACTGAAAGTAAAACTTGTAAGGATAACTACAGGAAAATATAGTTATAATTCCTTTTTGACAAAGAAATAATTATAATTTATAAGAGACATTTTATAATAAAATAATTGCACAGTAAATTTGCATTGCTAAATTGCCAAATAATGTTTAACTGCATTATTTGCAGATTTTTTTTTTTCTGGGTCTAGGAAAGAGTGCTCATCAAACCTGTATGTTTTGTTTACATTCTAGATCTATTTTTTTTTATTCCATTACAGAGTAGAGTTGAAATGGTAAATGGAGTATTGATGATCCACAGTGTGAATCAATCAGATGCTGGAATGTATCAGTGTTTGGCAGAAAATAAATATGGAGCCATTTATGCTAGTGCTGAGCTGAAGATTCTAGGTATGCAATTTCTAAGTAAATAAATAGAAAAAAAAAAACCTTGCTCCTTTTCATGCTCTAATTCTTACTATACTGAAGTTTTACAATGCAGTTGTAAAAACCTATTTTATGGCTTGAAAAGAAATACTATGTCTTGTTGATATATTTTCTTACAACTTTAGCAGACAGGTTTACACTGTGTATAGTTTGTCCCATAACTTTTTGTTTATATGGCTTTTCTAACTTTAGCTTTAATCTTAAAAGGCTTATACACTATGTCTTTGCTATGGTGTTGAAAAATTACATAAAGAAATATATGTTAATTTTCAAAGAAGAATGCCCTGAGGGTAGGAGATCAGAATGTAGAATTCCAGCAGCCCATCCCTGCTCCTATAGCAATGCTTCCTATTTTCCCAAGCAGCTCCTACGTTCCAGTAGGTGTGTGGCTCCTGCAAGACAGGACTATAGGATAAATTACTCTTTCCTCATGGAGTACCAACTATTATCATCCTTACATAAAAGGGAAAGCCTTCCTGAGGCCAGGCACGACTGGCTCCTAGGGTTACACCCTTGATCACAATATAATCCAGGTATTAGCACTACTTCACTATTAAATGCTACAGGAAAGAATCAATTTAGTAGAGTGGACTACCCAGAATGAGCATATTTGGGCCACTGGGAAGGATTTTATGTTTCACACTTTGATGGTTATCTAAACTTTTGTTCTGGGATGTTTGTAATACAGAGCAACTAACTCACTGTCTCCCCAAAGTGGGCAGAAGCCCAAGTGTACATTCTACTCCCCATTTAAATTCCCAAAGCATAACATTAACATAAACCTCAAAGATATCAGGAATCTGTAAACCAACCATTTATACATCAGCTAAATGTAATACAAATCAATTTATTGAATTATGAATGTTTGCTCTTAAAATCTCTCCATATTACAAACAATCCATCCAAATTAGATACAGGATTTCAGGTCTTAATCTCCTACACCTTAACCAATCAAATATCAATGTACCTTTTTTCAAATCATATTTCACTATCTCTGAATTTAAAAACTGATTCAGTCTTCACCTAGTTAATAGTTTACCTGGAAATACTTCTCAAACCCTTCTCATTCACTAGACATATATTTAATTTTGAAATTCTATTCTCATTAGGTAACCAAAAATGTTACCTGCAATTTCCCCATAAGTTTCTTTATTTTTTTCAGTCTCTTAATAAGTATCAATTACATACTTATAATCTGTTTTAATGCTGTTATCCTATACATTATATTGCTATATGGTGGACATAAAATACTTAAGAAATACTTATACAATTATCAGTGTGGTATAAAATGTCTCAGATACTATAGACTCGTAGTCATATCTTTCAGGCTCTCTTTTAGATCTAAAAGTCTCTTGATAAAAATCCAATAAAAACTATAATATTAATGAATGATCAGAGCTAGGTAAATTATTAATAAATTTACCAACAAATAAATAAAAAATTTTAATTGAAATTTAAATAATTTCATTTTTTAAGAATTTGTTTATCTTAAAATTACATTTAATTTTTATAAGAAAAAAGTAATATATGTATTAAATTACAATTCATATATAAAAATGAAAGACACAGGATTGTCTTCTTCACAGGTAACCTCCATCTTTCCAAAGGAAATCCAAATAGACTTCTTTGATTGTCCTCTTGACCTTTTGCCCAAGTTGTTCATTAGTGTTTCACAGTAGTAGCTAATCATAAAGCATGTCACAGAAGTAGCTAATCATAAAGCATGTCATTTTTCAAAAAGCCTTTACCTGTGGATCTCAACTTGTATGAAACCATCACTTGCTAATGGAACCAGTATAATATCTATTAATTAATAATAAATTAAAATTTTGACTTAATGCCTTTTTATGCATAATATCTTATGATTTTTATAAGAAATGTATCCCAAAAGAAAAGTAGCAAATCTTCATGAACCACCATTAGAGGATTATTGTCATTGATTCTGTAGAACTAACATTTTCTTTTTAATAGCTTCAGCTCCTACTTTTGCATGAATCAACTGAAGAAAACAATAATTGTTACCAAAGGCCGAGGTTGTCATAGAGTGCAAACCCAAGGCTCCCAAAACCACCATCTCTTGGAAGAAAGGAGACAAAGCAGTTAGAGAGAGCAAAAGGTTAGAGTTATTTAAGAGTTAAACTATAACAGTAGACTTTTTTGAAGGTGCCAATGACATGCACAAAGTATGTGTGACAGTTTTAGTATTGTGAGACATATTCATAAACTAATTGAAATAGTTGTGTCTATAGACTGATTTTAAGAACCAAAGTTCTACTTAATATGGCAGACCCCTTTGCCTCCATGAGGTCTTAGCACCAGCTGGCGATTTACTTGGTTATGAATAAAGCACACTTTCATTAAGCTAGTTATTTTGTTTTTCATTTGGTTCAGCATTTTGGGAGTCCACAAATTATTTTTGTGATAGTTTGTATGGGTTGTTTTCATTTCATGTTAATACTTAAAAATAGTAGAAACTATTCTAGATCTTTTGTATAATCACCTTATGATAGAATACTTCCATGTAATATTTGCACTAATGTTTGCTTTTTTTCTCAACTATGTTGATGCAAAATAGTATAGGATTACTTCGATTGCCACAGGGCAAATGAGAAATGTGCAGAGGAATATTTAACATGTGAACATCTATTTTGTAAGTAAAGCCAAGGGATATCGCAGGAGTGTAAATGGAGAAAATGATGAGAGATCAATAATCACATGGCAATCTATGTATGCCAGTTCAAATGTTTCATGCTCTATCATCATTACATATTGACATTACAAGTTGTGATTCAGCTTTGACAAAATATATCTCATTATGTCAAAATACATTCATATTTATTGTTTTGAATTTTTTTTAAATGACCTATAAGGATGAGTTATAACATGTTTATGCTTTCCAGATCTATGTACTTAATAGTTAAACTAATTTAAATATCATTAGGATCTACTTGATAATTTCTTAGTTAATTTTGGGATATTTTGAAAATTTGAACATTTTTCTAGAATATTTTTGTTTCCCATCAAATCTGAGAGACACTGATTTAAATATCAGTCTCAGATGAAATACTGTGGAATGATTGGCTTCAATTCAGCCTGAAAAGGGTGATCACCTGGATTGGGATGGGTCATGTTGTAGGGGCAAATGGGTGCTACATTTCTTACACATCATAAAGGTCACAGCCGATTTATATAACAAAAGATAGGTTAAGAGAAAAGCATACAAAATTATTTAATCAAAGTTTTATGTGATGCAGAAGGCTTCAGAAATGAAGAACAAAGACCTATGAGAAATTGTCTATTTTTATGCATAGGTTCAATGAAAAATAGACAATCCGGTAGAAATGTGATTGTACAAAAAGGGTAAATCTAATAAATCAAGGTGAGGAAACCCAGCAAGGCGTTCCTGTTCAGATTCTTCTTGGCTTTTTTATGTGATATTCCTTCTCTCTAGGTACAGGACACGACACCTGTCACATAAGAGCCTTCAAGGGAGAGGGGAGAAGGTCAACCCATCTAGGTTTTATGGCTTGCTTTGGGGAGGAGGAATTCTAGTTTCTATAACCCACCTTGGAAGAGAGGAATTACTATGTCTATGACTTAATTTGGGGAAGAAAGAGGAGTGGGAGACAGAAGGATGAGAGAGTCAGAAAGACATTACTTCCAAGGTCTTTCAAGTTTCTTAAGTAGAAAGTATTCAGTGTGCCAAAGCACCATCTTTGGACTAAATCAAAACTTGCAAGATAGTATTGCATGTGGTTACATTGATCAAGTAATGATTGAATATTTTTGGATGGTTGCTCATAAAAACATGAAAAATTAAATCCTGCACAAAGCTTATTAAAGCATAAGAACATTGTTTTTGTAGGATAGTAAGAACAAATAATTCACATTGCTAGGTTATCATTTTTTCTAAATGTATTGAAAAATTTTATAATGTAATCAAAATATATATGCCTTATAATTGCAATCCACTCTATCTGAAGTGCATTACTTTGTTTTATGTTTGTGGGTGGCATATGAGCCTTGTCCTATTTATTGCAATTCACAATAATATCCTTCATCAGCTATTCACAAATATCACATTGTGAATTTCAAAAATTAAGTGGCATCTCTTTTACCAAAGCAAAAGTATTGAGAGAAGTTACAGGATTATGAGTTTGTTATTACAAATTATTGTTTTAAAGTTTAAAGATACAGTTTTTGAGTTTTCTAACTTTTTTCTCCTCTTTCTCTTCACTGCTAACCCCTTGGGGTTAGTAAGAAAAATACACTGACCTCAAACTCTGATCATTTGCAGATGATCAATTTTTTGATCATCAGATTTTTCCAGTTATCAATACTTCTGGTGCAAGTGTTGTTTAGGAAGAAGGTTAAAATGTGAAATATTTGTGTTTTTATTTATTCAAATAAAAGCAAGAGTTGGGCACATTTACTTAGCATTCTGCCTACCCTGATCTATATGCTTAGATATATAAACTGGCGATATTCATAACAGAGCTCAAACATATAATACATTTTTACTCTTAAAATTGACAAGCACACTTACAAAATACAATTTTTACTGATGAACAATTTGTTACCATTCAGGCAGTACAAGGCTTCATGAAGAATACGACCTAGTTTGGCCCCCCACCAAAAATACACCCAATTATTAACCACTTCGGTACAGCGCTCATTGGCCCCGAAACCTTGCCCACAGCTGGCACTCATAGTCCGCACGATAGTTTGTGCTGTGCATTGACGACTAATCCATTTTGCTCTTGTGTGATGAGGAAACCTTTAAAGCACTGAAAGTTTGTTTTATTTTACAGGCAGCTTTACTCGTAATGTAAATCAGAATAGGTAACATATACATATATATTTTCATTACGTTATTTTTAAATGTTCACAATTTTCTTTTGATAAATGAAAAATTAGAAAAGTCATATCACGGCTGTCGGCTAAAGTCGCTATGCATTCATCTGTGGCTATCGACTATAGTTGATGCGCGTATCAAAGTGGTTAAGATTTAAATCACACAAAATAATATAAGAAAACCCATATAGGTAGTTGGAAAAATGTACATTCTAAAAATATGAGCAGAAACTTGAAACTTATCATTTCAAATGTATTTATCATACATTATTTAAAACAATATCTCAGGTACAATGACAACTTATTTTCCTATGGAAATTTTAGGTTGCTTCTCTGATATAAAGCACATCAACCATTTGATAACAGTTGTAAATATTTAAATGGAAAAAGAGGTGTCAGAAAACTGTTAAGGCTTCATCAAAAAGCTTGTGTCCTATATATTGTTCATTGGAAGTGCATATTCAAATCATGGTTTATTTTGTTGGAATACAAGTATACACACCATTTATATAATATACATCAGGTATGTTCCCCATTCATCCAACCTTCAAGTAGGGAAAAAATGTTGAATGAATTAGCCTCATTCTTCATTAACAGCTTTCACTGTTTGGGGGTTCATTCCAAAGAAAGATTGAAATAGTAAATGGCAGTTTCCCATAAAGAAAAACAAATAAAAATGTACTGGAAAAAAGGAGTGAAAGCAATATATATAATAAAATAAATATTTAAATGTGAGAAATATATCAGTTACTTTTGTAGCATGAAGTTGTATCTAGAGCAATGACATAAAAATGTAATGAAAAATCTTAATTGTAGAAAAAAATCACCTAATCATTTGAAAACATATCAGAAAATCACAAAGGTGAATTTTAATCTATAATTCACTGAAACTTACTCTAAAGTGTAAACACAATAGTACAATAACTGAAAGTTAGAGTCAGTCATTTATTAATAGGGTGCCAACTAACCAGTTGGCTTATCCTTTCCTGCCATATTTTGACTGAATTTTCCAGATTTTTGTTTTGTTGTGTTTATTGTAGTGCGGGTGGGATCTTCATCACACTAAAGCCTTTATTTATGTAAAGCCAATATATATATGAAATTTACATAGATTGCTAAGAAAATATAGATGTCATTGTCCTAAAGTTTAAATATTGATAATTAATAACTAGAATGTAACTAGAAGATTATAGTAATTTAAGAAGGAATTTGATTAACAAATCAGTCTCCTGCTTATATGAGGGGACTCAAGAATTTGTGGAAAATGGAATTAAGTGATAAAAAATGTTAAAATATAAACTTTATTCTCAACTTAAACTCAATCAAGTTCAATATACAGTCCATCCCTGAAGAACAGAGGGTACTTGAAATTTAGCCATGTCAATGCAGTCTTTTTAACATTACTAACTGAAGAAACATAGGTGACCTTTAAAGGTTTTTTAAGAGTAGGAAATAAAGTTAAAAGCAGACAAATCAAGATTGGAAGGGGATGCCTAATGATTTCTCATCAAAACTCTCACAAAGTTGACCTTGTTGGTTGACAGGAATGAGCAGGAACATTGTCATGGTGGAGAAAGACTCTCTAGTGAAGCTTTCACATGTGTTTTCCTTCTAAAGCTTTGCCTAACTTTCTCACAACACTCTCATAATAAGCAGATGTTATTCTTTGGCCATCCAGAAAGTCAGCAACCAAAATGCCTTGAAATACTGTCACTATGACCTTTGCTCTTGACAGGTCTACTTTTGCTTTGACAGGGCCACTTTCATTTCTTGCTAGATGTTGCTTTGATTGTGCTTTGTTTGCAGGGTTGTACTGGTAAAACCATGTTTCATATCTTCTTATAATTCTTCAAACAAGTGCTTTGGGATCTTGTTTAAGATTTCTACTGAAAGCTCTGTTCTTATCTGCAGCTGATCTGGGCACAATGGTTTTGACATCCATTGAGTGGAAAAATTTACTAAACTTTAATTTTTCAGTCAGAATTGTGTAAGCTGAACCAATTGAGATTTCTATGGTGTTGGCTATTATTTCTACTTTTAATCGTCAGTCCTTTCCAATTAGGAAAATAACAGATTAATTTTTCCTCACAAATTGATATGAATGGTCTGCCACTGCATGCTTCATCTTCAATATCATCTCATTCCTTCTTAAAATGAGTTATTCATTTATAAACTGTTGATTTCTTATCATTTCCCCAATATACATTGCCCCCCATATACTTTTAGTAAAGCTTTTATGATTTCACTATTTTTCAGCCAAGC